ACACACACACACACACACACTGAAGCACACGCCCAGCATGTTCTCACTCACTCACATACACATTTACAATGTGCATCGATTCAGATATCCAAAATTTTAGGACAAAGAGAAGGTGCGAACTATGACTCATGGCCATGCCCAATTACAGGAAGCATGGAATCGACATATATAATTTGTACTTCAAATTTCTGGTAGGATGATTACAAGACCCACACCAGGTAGCGTCGGTAGCCTTGTGATTAGGCTACCAGGTCCGTAATCGTCTACATTGTGTCCTTTGGAAAGACACTTTACACGAATTTCCCGTTTGGCTCTGTCGTTTAGGAGATGGACGCTAAACTTATAGGTCCCGCCTCTTAAATAACCTAATTGTATTGATAGGGGCGTTAAACCTATACTTTTTCACCCACACCAACATTCAGCTTCGTTGAAACAGTATTTTTGGCTTGTTTCCCCAGAACCAGGAGGTTTACTCTACTGCTGCGACCAATGTCCTTTCACTGTGCGAAGTTTGTTCCATTTCCGCCTACATCTGGCTCAACATGTAACAGCAACATGTGGCTTGGTCTCTGCAACCCCCAGCGTCTCCCATTCCAGATGTGGAATCTGTGGCTATTTCGCCGATGGCCAGGCGGACTTTCTGGACCATGTTACCAAACATACGAAGGAAAAGCCCTTTCTGTGTAGTTACTGTGTGAAGGACTTCAGCTCTCGTGAAAAAGTGAGAATACATTGTAATTCTGAACATAAGGGTCAAGCTGTTGTGTATACACACCGTGGAGAAATGTACAGAAAGATGTTTCAAAAGCCCCGGATGATGGTACTTCTTGAGCCAGCGATAGTGCTTTCTAAACTCAGTAAAAATGTGCCCATACATCATACATGACAATTTAACTGTACTACGGAACAAAACATGACTTCCGTAGAAGCAACGTGTACATAATGACGTATTATTACTTTTTGGCTGTTCAAAAGCTAGAGATGGATCTCTAACTTTCTCGATCTGGAGGTCAACAGGTCGCTTGTCCCTGATAAGAGCAAGCACTTGACTGTATCAACAAATCATGTGTATGACAAACCGTCTCGGATTCACCTCCTTGGTATGATGTCACAACGAGCAATTGGTTTACCGCTCCAGGCAGTGTCGTGAAAAGTCACGCTTCACTTCTGACCTTTCGAAAACTATACTGGCGATCAAAAGAAAGGTACCACCCTGTGTGTTCGATCTGTTCGCCTTTCCTCTGGAAAATAATTATTCTTTCGACCATGAAATTGAAATGTGAAGTATTCCATAGATTAAATCAAGGGAAAAGGATTCTTTTTCTGCAAAAACCTCTCTTTTATGACTGAAATGTGACGATAGGGGTAAAATCCAAAAGGCACACACAGTACGCCATGTAATCTCTATGTGCATTCAACACATCAGTGCATCTTCTGTACATAGAGCACTCAAGGCTTCATGCAAAATGTCGTTTGAGGCATTGGTTAGGGCTTGCTGCAACTGTAAAATGGTTCTGGGAACAGGATTCAAGTCACGAGCAACATAGTTAATCCTTTCGCATAGGCGCTCAATTTGGTTACAACCTGGTGGAATGTCAGGCCGTAGATTTATCGCTGTGACGTTATTCTTGATTTTTTAAAGAATTTTATTCCAATTGGAGTGCACGATGTGCGGGTGCATTGTCTTGTTATAACATTATGAGCTGATTGTGTTGTTGTAAAAAAATGGCAGATAGAGCTCATGTGGCCTCCTGTACACTTTTGCTCTCTCATCGTGTTGTTCAACTTGGATTATTGAGAATCGTCCGAGAAGGTGACGGTGTCCAACTGCTCCAGGTTCATCGGTGGTGTAGCTGTGACCAGTTCTCTCTAGCCGGTATTGTGGCTGAAAACGCTGTCTCTATTTAGGCATCCTGGTCTCTTTTGGCCGACAATGATCAAATGTTGGTGCAGCTTTAAGTAAACATAGTCATAAACTTCATGAAAATCAAAGAACATAGAAAAGTCCGCCTCGCCGTCGGAAAAAAATCCGAATTTTCTGGGGGTTTTCATATTGGTGCTGTGAACACTTATTGAAGCAACAGAATGTTATTTTGCTAACATTACCCATTTTTCAGAGTACCCAATACTGCTCACGTGAAAGATAAAGCGTGCACTCAAAAGTTTAGATATTATATAACAGAATCAAAAAGTGGTAGGCTACCTTTCTTTTGATCGCCAGTATATTAAAAGTTTTGAAAGGTTGTTTAGGTTACAAGTTATAAGTCCTGTGATGAAACATTCTGCTTACCTTTTATTATTCTCTATGAGAATTTTAGAAACTACAACTTAACAGTACATAGTGAATGTTTGATATGTGTTTATTCTATTTATGTGTTCATTTTTGTTGAAAACGAAGCAATACATTGCAGATACATAATACTCCAAACTGAATTTTGTCTTCTAAACCAAACTTGTCCAAAACTGTACTTTTCATTTTTGAAATGTAAAAGAAAAACATGAAAATGTACTTTCCAAAGACGTTTGATGCTAAATTCATTTCTGGTCTCAGTTTGGACCACGTGCCATTTTGAATTTTTAAAAATTCCGTTAAAATGCTCAACGAGCTCTGAATGTATGTTTATTTCATCTGTTGTCGTTTCCTTTATATATATATTATATATTTTACTGTTATTGGAGAAAGAAACAAGTGAGACCATTGATTTATCGATTGGCGCTTTGTACAAATGTGGACATTTATAAAATGAAGTTGTATTATAAGTGTAAATAATATGTGTATATATATAGATCTACATTATATGAACTTTGGCTTTTGCCATCCAATAATTCTCAGGACAGTCAGTTAAAGCATTATGGTTACCAGATTATAGTGTTGTCAGAAGTAAACAGTGCTGTTACTCTGACTGCTGTGGAATGGACTAGGAGTTAAACAGCAGTTGTTGTTTTGTGGTGGGTTTTTTGTGTGTTTTGTGTTGGGTTTTTTGGTCTGTTGAAGAGTCTAAATGAATGTGCGCATGTTAGAGTACAGATCTGTTTTTCTTAATATTTCAAATATAATGACAATCGAACCTGCCTTAACAGAAACTTGCTATAACGGGATCTCCCCGCTCCCCCTTGATAAATTCCACTCTAATTACCTTTGTAAAACGGAAACCTATCTGATGCGGAAACGGAAAAAGAAATTCCTTACATTCAGGGGTGGGGGGGGGGGGGGGGGGGGGTTCTAAGACGGAAAATGCTTTGACCACTAAGCCCTGATTTGAAACAAAAACTGTCAAGTTTGGTTCCCCCGGCTCTTATCTTTACGCCATGCCACCAGGCGAGGAAGGGGTGGGACTTGGGATCAAATGTTATCCATGGGTAGGCAATGATGTTACCCCGTCCATGTGAACCCTGAGTGGTGCTGATGGTCAAGGTGGTGTGGGTGTGAGATCTCACCAGTGCCCATGAAAGAGCTCGAGTGGCGCTCCAGCATCAAAACTTTCCCGGGTAGCCAGAACTGCGAAATTAGTTTGACCAATGCCTGGCTCTCTGATCGTACGAACAACCAAGAAAATAAGTTCCTCAAGTCGTTGTTACTTGCACGAGAGGCTTTGGGAGGGTGGCATTGGCTGACTGTGCTTATTACACCGATGGGTGGGGGCTGAGAGTAGAAGCAAAGGAAATGTTTAAGGGAAGACCCGGGTCGGCGATCCAAGGCAATATCGATACAATTTTTCAATATCCAACTTTTGTTTTTTGCGGAAAAACATCCTTTGACATCTGTTCTATCGAGTCAAAAATAAGAAACTGTTGAAAAAACACCCTAAATGACCTAAAAGGGCGTTTGAAAAGTGCAAAGTGCTCTAAAAATCCTTTAAAAATCCCTGCTTTTTCTATTTTTCTCAAAATCTACTTTTTGATATATGTGACCTCCTGGGTGCAAGGAGTTTTCAAAAACTACAGAAGCTAGAAGCTTCAAATTTGGTGTACAGGTGCTTTAAGATCGATTCTGGGGATCTATGAAAGGGAATTGGAAAATATTGGTAACTTAAGGAAATATTCAATTTTTTTGTAATATGTACCCCAGAATTTCGTCAACTGACTCTAGGGGTTCCAATGACTTTGGGCTCACTTTTTTAGTTTTAAAGATAGGTCAAAATCCTTACATGGATCCCCAATTCATATAGGTTTGTACTTGTGTGCCAAATTTCAGGCTAATAATTCAATATTTACTATGAAATTCTTCTGCACTAAGAAACTGGTTTGAAAATCCATGATGGCCGCCACAGAGACCCATTTTTCAGAAAAATTCAACAAATTCACCCCTAGTACATCCTATTTACCTATGAACTTCTTGCACAATTACATTAAATTGAATAAAAGTCATACGTTTAGAAAAATTTTCCGTGAATGTACGTCTCCCCTTAAATTGTTTCTGTTTTTAATAGTTCAAACAGTGGTCCTATGAAGAGCATGCACTGGTGGCAATGGATAAATAGGACTGATGCGTGCCATTATCCGAGAGGCTAGGACAGCACTTAGGAGGTGTGAAGTTTTTACCACTGCTCGCCAGCCGGACAAGCCACTCTTGATCCTACCGGCTGGGCTTCTGGAACTCCCCTACACATCCCATAAAATTCCCCTAAGACGGATTTTGTTCTATCTCCTTTGCGATTCCGTCTTACACAGGTTTGACTGCAATATATATAGATAGATCTGTAACACTAATTTCTATATCCATTTTCCACAGAATACTCTATGCGCTTTACAACATTGCCTCACCACAAAAGCGAAGCGTCTACTTAGTCAAATAATCTCTGCTTCCCTTCCTTCCTTGTTGTGAGAATATATCTTTGCAATCAAGTTCACCTGTAGACGTAGGCCTTATAAATTTAAATAGATGTTCATGGAAGCACCAATGATGAGCAGCGTGCACAACACTCGAAACGTTTCATAGACACATAAATACTAGGGCTGGATTCTGCTCGCTTAATCGAAGGCTTGCAAAGCAGCGGACGGCTTGCACTAGAGGCTTGCGAGCAGGCTTGTGATTTGATTTGCCTCCCGCTTGCTACCGGAGGGAACTTCCGGTGGGTTGTGACTCGCGGACAGTCCTGCTGTACTGTGTCGTGACGTTGCGAACTCTCGTGGCTGTGGGCTCAGTACATATTACAGAAGATTCTCTGGTTATTTGCGTTGAGATCGGTTTTTTTTTCATAGTTCGGTTGTAAAAAACAAAAAGCTGTATTCAATGCACTTAAAAATCTAGGTCTCTGTTACTACAATACCACGCTCCCTCTCACTTATCCATTCGCTTAGCTGATCAACGGCGGGAAGTTAAAAATAACTTCAGCTCTCTACGCGTTGCACCCAAACAAGCCCAGCCTCTCCCTTCCTCCACGGTTCAAAGTTCACACAGCGAGCAGTACTGCTGTTTGAACACATCGAGCGGTCCTGCGCCATCGAGCGGTACTGCGGCCTGCCGCTCGCTCGGTGTATCGAGACAGTACAAGTCAGCAGGTCATGTTTCGAGCTTGTCCTGAGACAATTCTCTAGGCCTAGCGTAAAGCAGTACTGTGTGAATTGTGGGGCTTGTGGCTGCGGACGGGATTTGAGGCTTGAGGACTGTCCGCTGCTTTGCGAAGGCCTTCGATTAATCGAGTAAACTACAGTGCCACGCCGCGCAGCGACTTTGTGGGCGAGATCTCTCACTCTCCCCGTCTCTCTTTTTCTGACGTAAGTGGCTTCACGGATTGCAAGCAGGGTGGGGATGATGAGGGGGCCTGACACGAGTGGCTTCGCGGATTGCTAGTTGCTGTGGACTTGAAGTTTAGACTAGACCAAGGAGGTTACAGTTTGCGCTAGACTCAACTTATGCCGGTGATTTGATTTGATGATTTGACCTAGTGATTTGAGGCTTGTGACTTGAACTAGGGGCTTGCGAGCACGAGCGGGTTTGCTACCGGGGTACAGCCCTAATAAATACACTGTTCACTGTTTTCGGGAGTAGTAAGACGAAGCGAAAGTCCACTCACCCGGGAGGGGGAATGGACGACTCGAACATCTAGGGCGATCCTGGTTTGAACAATTATTTTACACACCTGCAAGAAGAGTACTTAAATTACATCCCACGTCGAAATATCATCCTTCATTTAGCTTCCACTGCCACTTCTCCAAAGGCTTCAATAGCCTGCACCCGAATACATTAATTGTCTTCGTTGAAAGACACGAAGCATTACTGTTCAGTTTCATGAATTTTAAAGTGTTGTTAAGTGAAGCCAAGGTATTTTACAGAAGTCGTTACCCTTTAAAATAATACACAACATTCCATTTCTAATGCAGTCTCATGTAAATAGTTACCATTTATGTGTGATAGTCCCAAGCCTACAACACCGAGGAGAAATTGTGAAAATATAACCTAACTTTAATCGCATGTCTGACTGTCAGATACTTGAGCGTGTATTCGACTATGTTCCGACTTTCAAATTGAGTTCGATATCATTTGAAGTGAACTCCAAAGAAAACCCCTACGTGTTGAGATCCAGGAGCAAAGGTGTGAACGCGATTATATCAGGTAAAAACGCGTTGGGTTATGACAACGGTGTAAAAAGAACAACAACCCCCCCCCCCTAAAAAAAACATTAAAAAACAACAACAACAACAAACAAACCCTTAGCCAATTTGCTTCTGGAATGCTTTACACCGACAGTAGTGCGCATTTCAAACAAGTTAAAGGGGACAGTGCAGGTATAAAATTC